GAAGAGAGAATCCGATAATAAATATTTTTTTACTATGAGGAATTTATGCAGCAAGATAAGACGTGTCTCGTAATTACGGTTACTCCTTATGAAGAATTTCATAGCAAGTACCTTGGCTACGGTACCTTATGGATACGATGGAGATCCGATAAATAACATTACTTCGAGGCCGATGATCTATAGTGCTAACGCACCACGCACGCGATCCCGATACGCTTATCTCTCGTCTAAGAGCTACGACGACTCCTCCTGATCACGCACGAATCGTAGTAACGCACCTTCGCCAAACAAGCTTCTCGTGGATTAATTAATGGCCGTGCGTCGATCCGGTACGGGAAGTCGTGAGCAGATGTCGAGATTTCCTCGCGGTGCCCTGCGTGTCACGAAAAGTAAATCAACCGAGGCCAGCTGTCTGGAGAAACTATGCAGACCGCCGCCACGCCATTCACTCGGCGGCACTTTTCCTACGTGCGCATCGCGATCGAAGATCGAAGTGAGTTCGAGTTACGAGGGACGCTGACTCGAATGGACATTTAAAGCGTTCTTTCTTATCTAATCTTAACCAAGAACGTAAAGTGCTTCCCGCCTTTTCATTTACCCATTTTATATGGATCTTCGAAGAAGCAAATTCAATAACATCTTCTAGTTTTATGACTTATTGCCGTCTCTTGATGAATATCTCGTCCGATAAAAAATGTTTGACGAATTCAATCTTAGAACCGAATGTTTCGTTCGAACGATAATATATGCCTCTATCGACGGCGTTAAGGAGTGAGACGAATGCGAGATACTTGTTCTAAGAATATAGGATACATGATCGGTCACGTGGGATAAATAGACTTTAGAAAAGGGCTGGTCGCATCGGTGCGTAGCTTGAATTAACGTCGAATCGCACGGCTTCTTCGAAGTAATGCAATTATGCAATTAGATCAAATCGAGTCAAGGTGACTCGAAAGTATCTACTATATACTCCACAAAACTGAGAACGGCCTGAAAAATATCCGTAAGATAAATAGATGGGATAATATCGTTCCAAGGGTTACATATTCGTTTAAGAGGGAATTATTTCTCGATTAATCTTGCACGAATATAGCGTACGATGATGATGCCATGATGTAAATGTGATCTCGATTTTAACGTATGGTTAATATAAGTTTAGACAACTTTAACAGCTTTGCGCTTAACAGCTGCCTTTTTCTCGAAAACGATTGTGAGCTAGTGTACGCATCGCCACGGATCGCTGTCGAAGCAATTTCGATTAAGTTGCGGTCTCTAATCGAATACGTTTTCGGAGAACATGAAGAAATGGCGGTGTAGGATTATGCACAGATGCAGTATTATCGATTAATGTCTTCTCATACAGCAGCGATATTTCTCGTTATAACGATGAGAAGACGTTCGTTATTTTTCTTCTTATTCCTAGAATAGAATTTCGACGAATCAACGATTACTATGCGATTATATATGCATATAATGTACAATGTATCTCTCTCTCTCTCTCTCTTTCTACCCCTTCTTACTATTCTTTATTTCTGACTTTATAACGACCGTATCGTGAATATACATGTCAGACCATTAAGCGAAATACGAATCATTAATAAGGTAAACGCAAGAAAGTTGCGCACTTGTCGGTGTAATTCGGGTCAGCGGAAAAATTAGTTTTTAGTATTTTTTTTTTTTTTTTTTTTTTTTTTTTCCTAGCAACATACCTTTCTTTCGTGTAGTAAGAAATTAAAGTCACTTCTTGCAGAATAAAAAAATTCGTATCATTTTCATTATGACAAAGTATTGCCGAGGCATTTTTTTCAACTGGGAATCGTACAATCGTGACGAAAGGTCGCCCTTCGAGTTCGAAATGGATTTTAATTTGAAAAGAAATATTGCATATTGTAATTTTCCTATCAACTTGTTTCCTCTGAGCAAACGCTTTCTTCGTTAGTATGCTTAACGAGAAACACAAGCGGTACTTTTTATAAGTTTTAAAATACACAAATGACTTTGAAACTTTTGAAACGTTAATGGAACCAAATTTGAATATCATTAATAGCGCTATCATATCTTGTATTCTTAGGAAAATAAAAAAAGGAATCATCGTAGAATGGAATAGAATCTCCTATGATTTTAAAGACAACGACCTTTTTCAATGAACGATTGGCAACCGTCGTCGAAGCTAAAAGAAATCGATAAAGGATCGTCTCTCGCGAAAGTCTTGTTCACGAGGCGCCTATTACAAAGTTCTCTTGGTCGCGTCTCTTAGCAGATGTACGACCATTTGCCGTGGCAGCTGCTCTCCCCACCAACACCGTAAACCACGGCTATCTAGCCCCGGTGTTACCATCGACTAGATTTTCCTCGACGTTAATAACGATACTCGATGCGATATCTATGTCAACGAAAAAATCGAAGATTGGTATGATCAGAGTTTCTGTTCCAAGGAAACGTCCGCTAGTCGAGGGCAGTTCGTCCTTGCCGGTGACCGATCGAGCGAAAAAACCGGTTCTTGGGACTCGAATGGAACGACTGAGGAGGACGTTCGGGGCCCACGAAGGGAGCGAGCACGAACCTGGCTCCCCGTAGAGACCGAGTAAAAGGTACTTACTGGCTTTGCTCGAAGGATATACTCCAAAGAGGTTTATGGCCTTTTGGATACGCCAAGGAAGATTTCCGGAATCGTTGGAAGAAGAAAGAAAGTACTCCTTTACATACACGTAAAATAAAGATATGTTCGTTCTTCTTTAAAATTTGCACGAGGACAACCTCGAAAGAATTCAGAAAGGAGGAAATTGTTCAATCATCTTGTCGGAAAAATAACTACTTCGGACGGATGGATGGAAGCAACGTTGCTCGCTTTTATACAAATCAAAAGTTGTTTATCCAATTCGCATACCAAACTCTATGCGTACACATATATCGTATTAGATATTCGTATTATTAAACAAACTCAACTACATCAATATTGATCGATGATATACCGTAAAAGTGTAAATATTCCATTTCTTATTGTTCATTATTAAATGTCATAAATGAAACTTACTTTTATTCTATAACCTTGCGTTTCCGACGATGAACGATGGCAAACGTAACTCTCATAGCGAGTATTGCGTTAAACGTTGCGGGCAAAGAAGAAAGGGATAGGGCCCAAAGCAAGACTGACTCGTCCCTGGAGGAAAGAGGGGAAGGGGTCTGGAGGGGCAAGGTAGGGTAGAGGGTAGGGTAGAAGGAACAGGACCCGTTCGAGCCTCGGCATTCGTGTCCGGTGTTTCGTCAGGGGGGGGTTCTTTTACAAGTCGACTCGATGAGAATCTTGGACGATCGGTCGACCTGTAATACGTATATACTCGAACTTGCCGATTCTTCTCTCGTTTCTCGCTAAATCGTTCTTTGAATATTTCTCTGTGGTGAAAGTGACGATAACTTTGCTTGGCTCGTACATTACGATAGTTCGTCCGTTATCATTTTTCTTGAAGGCTTACAAAGTTTCCCTTTGAAGAAGACGAAGAAGAGGAAAAACAAGAAAAATAAGAAGAAATCTCGAATTGGAAAGAAAGAGCAACAGAAAGGATTATTCTTTGAAAGTATCGCGGCATCGAAATTACCTGTAGAGCCATAGAATCGAAGGTTCACCAGGTGGCGCAACAAACGACGCAACGTTCGTTGCCAGTTCGTTTTTTTTTTGGATCGGACCTCGATTTTCGAGGAAGAACTTAAGAGAAGATTTCTTCGTTCAGATTTTTCGTCGTTTTTTCAAATTTCTCTTTTTTCCCTTCGTTTATCTCGTTTTGAGAGAACAAGAGAGAGAGAGAGAGAGAGAGACAGAGAAACAGAGAAAGTATTTCCGAGTTCCGGTGGGGTCGCCGAAAGTAGCGGAGCGTGACCGTGGTAGTTCTAACGGAAAAACGTGGGAATTCTCGTAATCGTACTTTACCGATTCTATCAGAGACATCACAGAGACATCAAATTCGGCTAAAATCGATTGGAATGCTATCCTGGAGAATCAGGTCTACGTTATCGTTGATGTGGTAACTTTAAGAGGAAAATATATTGCACTTCTGGTGGAGGAGGAAAATAAATCGAATTAATAAAAGAAGAATCAAAGGAGTAAAAGTAGAAAGTGTGCGGATACTTTTTCCTCATATTTTTTTCTTTTACCCACTGGTGGTACATTAATTAGCGTGCGCTAAACGGACCCCGAGGTCAATCGAGTTAAACGTCACGGCACAGCTTCGCGCGCTACTACGTTCAAGGAGTCAATGAGTTGAAAGAGACTATTACGTGTTAATTCGTTAACGGGATTAAAAAAGTACGTCATTAAAAAAGTTTCTCTTTTTCTTTTTCCTTGAAACGAAACGTGAAAAATCGCAAGGAATAGACAAAAAATAAACAACTCTGTTACTGCGACAAAGGATACGCAACTAGAGAGAGAGAGAGAGAGAGAGAGAGAGAGAGAGAGAGAGAGAGAGACGAAAAAGGGACTTTACTATGATCGGTGAGGCGTCATAGTTTAAAAATACAACTGGCTGCTACCGATCGACATCACCGAGAAGCCATCGTCGTTTAAAGCATATTGTATAGCGAGTGATAGAATGAGAAAGAGAGATAGAGTTAACACGAAGAGAGATAGAAAGGAAGGAAGGAAAACAGAAAGATAATCCTATCCCACTCTAAAGTCTTTAGACGTCGGTGACGTCAGATTGGCAGGGTAAGCGGTACGGAGTAGTTTTAAGCTCGTGAAAGGAAGGAAAGCGAGTAAAAAGAAAAAAAAAAGAAGAAGGAGGAGAAGAGTCTTCTCTTGTTCAGCTGTATGGCTTGCGTTTACCTTTTTACCGGCCGGCTTCGAGGAACGTAGAGCGCCGCCATGTTGTCCGAAGCGAACGTTTTTTTCTGGCGGGCGTAACTTCTGAATCTCTCTCTCTCTCCCTCCCTTCCTTCCTTCCTCTCTCTCTCTCTCTCTCTCTCTCTCTCTCTCGTATCTTTTCATCTCTTGAAGTAGAAGTAAAGTTTCTCGTCGACGCATGGTGTCTACTCAACGGAGAGACGTCATCGTGATCGTCGACCTTCGTCATCGATCGCTCGGAGAAGGGGAAAGAGGTTGTTCCGCTGGAGGAGGAGGAAGAAGAGGAGTTGCGAGGGTGGTGGTTGTGCTGGTTGTAGTGTTGGTGTTGTTAGTAGCGGTGGTTGTGTTAACGGAGAAGAGCGCCTCGAGCGAGGCCAGCGGCGAACGAAGAGGTGCCTCCTCGTGTCGCGTGAACGAACGATGCTCGACACTGGTGTTACCGTCGCTCTCGTTAGACCGTACCAAGTCTCGCGATGGAAGTCGACCGTTTCGTGACGATTCGTCGCGTACGGTCGACCGTCGAGAAGTCACCTCGGTTCCTTATTATTTCGTTTCGCAGAAACGAACGTTTGCCGACGTCTTTCGTCATTGTTTCTATCGCGTTACCGCGTTCTCCAGTTACATCGAATTTCTCGAAAACGCCTCCTTTCCTCCGTCCGCTCTTCTCTTCCGCTGTTGAAAAACTCGTCCAGTGTTACTATCAGCTCGTCCAGTGCAACTATCTTACTAAGGAGAGAACTTGTTCGTACTTGAAAGATTTGTGATAAGTAAAGAAGACTTATTTGGGAAGGTGTGTTAATTTGATCAAAATTGCTTATGGTGCTTCGAACGGTAGGTGAAGAAACGTCTTCGTCATTACGGTGTTTCGATAGTCGATGCGTTACACGCTACTGTGCGTCGTGAAAACATTGGTGCTCGAAGAAGAGAAATGGGAAACCACCCGTCCGCCCACCAGCCGCTCGAGAGGGCTACCAGCCATGCTGGAAATGGTCTTCGTCTCTCGGTACGTTCGACCGTCCGTTCCTCTTTCTCTCTTTCTCTCTCTCTCTCTCTCTCTCTCCTTCCCTCTTCCCCCCTTTCCCTTATCCGTTTGATGCGTTTTCGCGCGTCAACGAGCGATTTTGTCGGATCTGTCTAGTGCAGCTTCTCCAAATTACAGCGAGAACTTCTTTGAATCTCCACTTCCTCTCGAACTTTATTGTTTTCTAAATTACATGCCAAAACTTTATGCCTCTGTTTCCTTTTGCTTTCAATAGTCCTTTTCTTTCAAAAAAAACATCATTGAATTCTTCTTTCTTCAGTATCACGATATTCTTCGATTTATAGAAACGAGAACATATATAAAAATATTGTTACGGACGAGTGCGATTTAGTAGATCGCATCAATAACGATCCTCGATGATAATCATCGATTACATGGCATATTGACTTTACTGTAATTGTTGATTAGCTGTTGAAGATAATGATTCTATTAGATATGGAATAAGATCTATACGATGCGAGAAGCAGCGAAACGAGAGAAACTTGATTCGTCTATTATCACCGGTTTTTTAAGTATTGAATTAGGAACGAATAAAATTTTCTTTTACGTGGGCGAATTTTTATATTTGTGATAGGGACGAAGATGTTTTTCCAAGGCTGTAACTCATCTTCAACATACCTCAATTACGTTTACATCGATGACCATTTTCTCGATCATTATCAATTTTTTTTTATCGACAAAGTTTCTATAACGAGCAATTTCTTTAACATTTGTATAAAAATATGTCCTTCCTGTTGCGCGTGACGTCATTGACTCGTACGATCTTTCTCTTTTTTACGTTCGTTCATTCTTTTGAATATTTATCGTAAGAGGTTCGTGTATATGGAATTCTTGATATTAGTTCGCGGAATGCCTGTTGACGAGTCACGACGAAGTGACCGTTATATAACGTCGTCTTACCGTCGACGTTGCTCACATCTTTGTCGCTCTCTCAGGTAATTTTCTGTTTAAATAGATTTTATTTAAGGATAAGTTGAAATACAGTTGATAATTTGATCGAATCGATGACACTGATTACGATGAGATTGATTCATCAACTAATGGTATAATCTTAAAAACATGATTATACAAAATCGTAATCAATCAACGAAAAGGAGAAACCCACAATTAATAATTCTTAAATATAATTATTATACGATCCTTGTTAAATCATTGAGACTGGCTGAAAAGGAACAATTAACGAACGTCGCCGGCAACGAAATAAGGTCACGAATTTTAATATTCATTTGTGTTACTTATAAATATGGATTATTAGAAATTATAGTTGTTTAAGTCTACGTAAAAAAAGAAAAAAAAAAAAGGAAGAAAAAAGTCAGAGAACTGCTAAATCTTAATCCAATGTGCATTATTTTTCTAAACGAAGGATAAAAATGAACAAAGTTCGATGGATTTCTCTTTGTTGAGTCGTTAGTTCGAGCGACAATACGAATAGTTCTTTGCGAGTTGACGAATTGTATTTTCACGTTCATAGGGAAGCTCGCAGAGAAGTTTCGGACGACGACTTACGACGCGACGGAAGCCTCCTCGTGGCTTTTCGGAAAGTTTATTTTTATCAGGGTTGAGAGAGGAAGAAGCTTTTAACCAGCAGCTTTACGAGTCGCATTTTAATCCCAGTAGAGACGATGCGTTTCTATGGTTTAACTCAGGAAAGAGTTCAGGGTGGTAGAAGGGATGGATATCATTGAAATAACTGACTGCGTCTCGTCCCTTCGTATGTTCGCTCACGGTGCAGCTTAATTACATGCGTTTGTTACGCGCTCTAATTAGAGAAATTAACCATCTACCGTGCCGCTGGAGCAAGTTTCGCTTCGGTAACCCTGCCCCTTTCCCTCATGCTCCTCATCGTGGATTACCCTAATCGACAATCGATTGGTTGTACCCCGTTCTCGCACCGATATATATATATATATATATACATACATACATGCATACATACATGCATATATACATACAACATATACATAATATATTTTTATCGTCAGATCGAACGCGGCAATTTTTCCAACGACCCTTCCCTTTCCTTTACAGACATTCTCTTCTTCACGTTTTTTCTTGTTTTCCATCATGATACATTTCCTTTCTCGATCGATGCAATTATTTTTCGCGATAATTTCATCGCTTGTATCAAGTTTGTCGTTCTTATAGATTTTTGCTTTAGAAATAAGATTTTATATAACAACGATCTTATTTATGGTCGTATCGTAAACTCAAACTATTGCAAGTATTTTAAGACGGCGAAGAGGGTTAGGAAAAGAAAAAAAACATGATTGTTCTTTGAGTTCGCATTTCAGCAAATATTTCCTCGCGTTTCTTTAAGACTTCCTTCGGCCGTCATGGCGTGTGGAATCGCTTCGCTGTCAAAAGCAGAAAAGTTTCCGCTTCCCGTGAATTTCTTGGGATAAGAAGAAAGTTCAACGATGGACGACCTCCTGATGGATACGCGGATTCTATTCGTTAAGAGATTTCAGAGTCAAGCGATCGTTTTGCTAGCTGTCCGTCGACTCAGATTCTAAGTTAAAATTATACTCTTGATCCTTCCGACAAAGCAAAGTTTCTTAATCTATGCATTATCTTATCTTTTTGTTTTACAAAGAGGTTATACCCAAGAAAAAAGCCGACTCTAGGAGATACAACAAACATAAAATTATCGTCGATCATTCTCGCCATTAATTATTGCTCGGTTCTTCTCACGGCGATAAATGCCGATGATTGATCAAAGTCCAATGAAAAAGACTCGCCATATTTTAAAGCATTTAACAAGGTCAGGAACATGGAAATATTTATTCACGTTTCTTTTGAAAACCTCGCGACTGTTTTCAAATTACTTAGTTATTACGTTAGGTGTGTAAAAAGGCAGCTGTGTCTATTGTTTAATTATGTAGCATTAATTAGTTTAATGCACCAGGTGGATTCATACGTATACGAATGTATAATTTTGGAAAGTATATGGCAATATTTAAGTAAGATAGATGTAGATCGGGTAGGTCGGCTATTAAATAATAGGTAGGTGGTGCTGTTATCATACGCTCCTCGATTAATCACAATTTGAAAACAATTGCGCATTTAGAGTTTGCACGATCGATTCTCGCTTATATATTTCTACTGGAATAAAAAATTGACACATATACTCGATGAGATACACACAATATAAACGAATAAGAAAAAGAATTCGATAATCGCAAGAGAAATTGAGACTTATCGAACAACGAGAGTTATTAATGCTAATATTTTTCAAGCGAGGTCTTCATTAAGTAGTATCGATTTCGCGAAAGGAAGCAAACTCGTTTAACATCGTTTTAACGCGAAGGACGTTGATGCGTATTGTCACGGAAATATAATCAACTGCCGATATATTCTACAACAAAATGCAAACATCTGTAATAAATAATCGACTGCGATATAATCGTATTACTGTCGAATTAATTAGATATGCCAATTTTCTGGTATATTCCTTAATTTGTAGTTCGTTCAATTGTTAGTTTGAATTGTTAGTTTGAATTGAATGTATATACAAGTAAGTATATAGATTCTCCTCGCAAATTTATTTGTTTAAACACATTGATAAACGAGAAAATTGTATGTATCAGTACATGTGTGAAAACCATTCGGGTATATCGCTCATTTCTTATCGCGATCATACGAAATATTTCTATCACCGATTAAAATATAATACAATTATTTCGTCGTATTACTTCCATTTCAAGGTTCTAGCACATATATCTTTAATATATCGTACGTACGATGCATTATCATATCCCACGTTCTCTTTTATCGTGTATAAGTTTCGACGTGAAGACGAGAGAAGGAAGAAACACCTTCGATTATAGCATGCGGTGTGGATGAGAGAAAAAGATGGCGGAGACTCGCTCGAGGAAAGAAGTAGCGGCACTTTCGAACGAGTTAAGTCACTCGAACGTTGACGCACAAGCGTACAAACAGGTTTTTCATCACAGGAGAAACTCGCGAGGTTCGCGTCGACTTCTTTCGTTTGATAAAACTATTTTGCCACTGGATGTATGTAAGGTACATAACGTAGAAAAGGATGAAGGTTCGACATTTTGAAAGATAATCGACATGAATCTTCATAGTTATGACTCGTGAAATTGATATTTCAAAGATTTATAATCGGCTGAATTGCCGTATTAACGATGAAATTATTAAAACTTTTAATTTATTTCAATGTCGAATGAAATGTCTTAGTATAATTCGTACAATCTCTTTAGAAATGTATTCAAATAATCGCTCCGAAAGGGACTTTAAATATTACAGTCGCTTTATCCGTGTTACTCAACAAGCCATTAGTTAATGAAACAGATTGTTTGGAAACATGTCGCTTTAATGCACAGTTCTATGTAAGTAGAGCACGTGTTAAACTTTTGAAAAGCTCATCGTAAAGGCACATCGATGTAGATACATATAAAGTGTAAGCGCAAGTTTGAGCGTACTCGCGCGTACTAGTGCAAAGCGAGGGGATCGAACTCAAGGATAACCGGTGGTATGCCGATGTCCGCTGGTTCAGAAGTTACAAAGGGAGGGACTTGGAATCGCTGGTATTTAAAATATCGTCGTACATACCTTCGATTTCAATGGCCAACGATTTAAATGGCCTACTTGTCTCGTAAAATTACCTTGCATATACTTTACTTATAAAACTCTTTGGTAAATGTTTTTCAACATTCATCACGTTGAAATCAAATAATAGCGATATATGCATTTATTATTTATTTGTTTTTTTTTCCCCTTAATGATTTATGTAAAGCGTCGACCGGTCGTTGGATCCTTGTAGGTCAAAAAGATAGACATCGATTTTTTGCTCTTGATTAATGCACCTGCTATATGTCTTTGTCCAGTAGGTCAAAGTGACAAAACGTTCGAAAAAGTTTGTAAAATGATCAATGTGGATAGGTAGATAATTGATTTTTTTCGATGAGCAAAGAAAAATAGAAAAAGAAGAAGAAGAA